CGAAGAAAAGATAGGATGACAACTCCAAGAAGTGATATACACGACAGGGCGGGAACACTGGTAAGGGGCCTTAGAAGGGGATGGTGACCAAGTTCATAGTGCGGGACACAGTAACAGTGGGACATTGGTTCCAAGGTATGATATAGGACGTGGGACAGGAACATTATTGGTGGGTGACAAGAAGTGCTAGCAGCTGATAAGATTTGATAAGGGGAGTTAGAATGGTAAGGTCACCATACTCATAACGCGGACACAGCATCAGCTAGGCGTTGATTTCAGAAAATGATATAGAGTGGGAGATGGGGACATCGACGGCAGGTGACAGGAGGTGATAACAGCTGATAGGGGCTGATAAGGAACGTTAATGTTGTTCAGTCAAATTGCTGGAGCCTTTACACTACCAAATTATAGAGTTTTAGTGATAGGGACATTGATGACGGGTGACAGGCAATCTTATCAATTGATAAGAAAGGATAAGGGCCATTCTCATTACATCTCTTACCACTATACTGCCAAGTACAGTGTGCAAACTTTTCCTTTACCCATCACTTCTCTGATAGTACTAGAAAATGAACTCATCCCACTATCCTTCTATTCTATAAACCACTAACTCTGTGTGTCGGTTTGTCGGTATGTATGTATGTATGTATGTCTGTCCGTCCGCAAAATGCCTCACGGGCTCGAGTTAGCGGGAGGAGAAAACGACCGCTCGACAACCGATTGGTGCGGATGTATCAATCCAATGTTTTGATTGTGATAACAGCCTCCGCTATATAAGACAACCATTCGGTACACTCCGAGCCATTGCACGAGCTGCTGCCGTGGCAGCTGGACGTGTGCTCGTGCGGGGGCAGGGGAGGGGGTGGCACTGAGTGTTCCCCCCTTCTGCTTCCTTCCCCTGCACGTCTCATCCGACCTGAGCATGTGAAGTAGAAGAAGCAGCAGGGGGGGGGGGACGTAGGGGGGGTGCAAAGCGCACGGCCTTGAGTAGGAAGCACGCAGAGGAGGGAGCCGCTGGCTCAAAAACTGCGAGCCTTATAAAAAATAAAGTGACAAAACTATGAGATTGTGATACCCTCACTACAAGACAACCATTTAGTACTCCCGAGCCATTGCTCAAGCTGCTCGCGTGGCAGCTGGACGTGAGCTTGCGCGTGGGTTGCTTCATCTATTACGATTCGATCAATTAGCGCATTATGAGTAGCTAGGTGAAAGAACAAATATTGTTCCCATTATGAAGTGCGCCTGGCGAAGCCAAGCCAGCTAAAGATAAGGAGGAGAGCTCGGCGTCAGCCGGGCGATCCGACTGGTTAACAATAAAAAGGAAATGTGGAGCTCATTGGAAAATGCAGGGTGGAGAGAATATCAGTCCCTGTCCGTTCTACACTTGAAATCAGCGCATCCCTCTTTCCCATTTATCTGCCACTGCCCTTCTGCAATGGCTATGCTCTCCTGTTCTGTTCCGACCAAATTTGCGGGACAATTATGCAACAGTTCTTATTAACGGCGTACTCCACGTGGTGTGCTGCGTTGCTATTGTCAATAACCTGGTTAGAGAAAAAGTTACTTTGAAAATTAGTGAGTTAGTCTTCGTTTGAAGGAAGTGGCTTCATTCAGATATTGTAAATGGAACGATCACTGATGTTGTCAAATTGGGTGTTATCGAGTCATTCAATGTGAAATTATGTATGGTATCGAGTGCGGCGGAAGCAGCTGAACAGATCCTTCGTGTCGACAACATCATCAAATGTGCCCCACGTCCTCGTCCAGCCGATCACCGACCTTGCTAAACCGCTTATGCTATAAAAATTGTTTTTGTTAAACATTTTATTACCAGAAATCTCGTTATTCTCTTCCATAGCTTTGATTTTTGCACGAGTTTTTCGTTGTTGTCACGTGACCATCTCAAGGTGTTCCTGGAAACTACCCCCTATTCCTTTTTTGTTTTCTTTTTTATTGTTTGTTCAGCTTTTATGATACTCTTAATAAACCCGTGCATCGTTTTTTTTCGTGTAGCTTCCAGTTTACGGTCGATGTAGTTTGGTGGCTCGTGGCACCGCTTTACGATGCCCACGTTCTTGTGATGCACTGTTGGCTCGCACCCGGATCAGGCGCTCCAGCCCTTTGGGGTCGGGGCACACCATCACATTGTGGAAAATTTTTGTTATTTATGGAGACAGTATGACAGCGTATAGACTTCGACTTAGAATCATTGTGCAGCAGCACTTCAGTGTTAGAGGCGGGCATAATCCCACAGACGAGTGGGCAAATCAGTTTTCCTCGGTATAGACATAAGACAGGGTACAGCATCGTTGTGCGAAACCCATAGGGGGGGTCGTACTTGGCCGCTGGGGAGGGGGGGGTCGTAATCTCAAGGGTCACTCTCAGAGCCGGGCAATGCTTCGACATTTCAGTTGATAGTGGGAGTGGAGCTATGGATGGAGTCAAGATGTTAAAAAATGGAAATTATTATGAGTGTATTCTTTACAGATTCGAAACTGCTACGTTTAACAGCACGCTTTTCATGAGAAATCCCCAAATGAGTTCGTACTTGGCCGCGGGGGACGTGGGGAGTATCGCAAAAGTAGGCTCGCTAGGCATCAAACAGTACAAAAGTGTCATTGCTAAGTTTGATGGAACGGACGGAAAGCTGCAGAAGACCCGGATGTAGGGAGGTTGCAAATATTAAAATTGGATGATAGCAAATATAACAAGAATCAGTGATAAAATTTTAGTTATTAGCAGAAACTCGTAAGCTTGGTTATGATGACTGAAATATTACGCTCTCAAACAGATTCGTGCGTTTGCGCTTTCCAAAACCTGAACAACACTTCTACTGCATCGGATAGAAGCTGAAAGCGTGAATTTACACCTTTCCACCACCCCTGCGTTGGATCGTAATGCACGGCGCTTACTCGGACGCAAATCGATCAGTGACAGCCGAGCTCCTCTTTCACTCATTTGAAGGGAAATATGTGTTTTGAAGGCACACTGAAGTTTCCGAAGGTGTATTCTCACAATGGCACAGAAGGAGTCGATTTTTCGGGTGGGTCAGAGGGTAGCGCTTCTGTGACCCATCTAAAATATCTCCTGAACTAGCGGGTCTTCACGAAAACTGTAAAGCTTATTGGAAAGAGAAAATATAGGGCGGTTTCGAAACGATTCTAATCCTGGTTAAATTGCGTTCGAAATAACTAATCCTCGTGTGAAGCATAAAACCCGCTTGCTATTTACCC